CCACGGGACATGTCGGTTGTGTCTAGGAGATGCCCGAAAGCGCTGACTGGCATTGGACTGGTCATCATCCTACAAGATTGTCTAATTCGGATGAGCGAATGATAAGTATTGGCTTAGGAAAATACAATAGTCCCGCCCCAATCATGCGTGACAGCTGGATGGCGATCTCCGGCATATTTTCAGAATTGAGCCGTTGGTATTGGGGTCTATGGTAGACTCCGTAGTTGGAAAGGTACCCTTGGCCCATTCAATAACCACATCTCGTATGTGTAGCTTTGACACTCTGTAGGTCAGGCTCATATATATCTACTCATCCATATGCAGCATTATTCGGATCACTATCTCTCTGCGATAAATCGTTCCTCTCCTCTCCGGTCCCGGCAACTGATACTACGAATCTGAGCGAAGGGCTATTCTCTTCAGGGGGAGATCAAATGGTGGCCCTCATGCCTCAGCTTCGCAGTTTGCTGTCCGCACCTCCTGTCGTCTCATATATCAACCGAGAAGATTAACTAATTGCATAGGCATCTATTGTTAGATTTAGTATTGGTCATCGGGGCTCTCAACTACTGCAACCAGCTAACATCACGATTGAATCCCTCCCACGCCAACAAAGAGACATTACTCTGTTCACTTGACTACATGAAAGGGAGAGGAAGATCCTATTTCTTTGCTCCTCGTAACTTACTACTCCAGAAGCTGCAGCTCGCCCCGGGGATGTTCTTGTCGAGAATTCCACTGCGCTTCCTTCGTGAGCAGTCGCATATTGCCCTTGAAGCTAAAATTGGCGTAAAACCAATTAAACTTTGGAGAAAGTTTGATAAGAAAATGGGCTAATGGAAAGAGCATCTCAACCTGTGCGATTGTTCATCAGAACGAAAAAAGCTGGATGCGATTTGGTAGGACCTGATGGCAGCATCACCATGACAAAACACTATCTTGTAAACAGTGAAGACTTGCCAACCCTATTACACCACCAAGTCATTAGATGTCGATAGGCTTGGCTTTCCTGACACTAATCGACCGTCTGACCCTTGCTAGCAACATTGGTGGCAACAATTGGCCGGAGAAGGCCCCAGGTGGCTTCGATGGAGATTGCCAAGGCGCCGGCGCAAATCAGGTGCACGGTCAAACGGTGTGTTGGCTACGGCAATATCTTTGCGTTTACGAGACACCAGAAAGAGTGGTTGGTTGCGACTGCTAATTGAGAATGCCAATGCCAAATTGGAAGGTTCAGGAATGTCGTCTTTGGGGCAGGCTTGGCTGTGACAATAGCATTTAAGTTGAACCTTGGCAAGTTGTAGCATGCGGTGATATAAGCAAGGATGTGTCACTGTGAACGTGGAAGCGATGTTGGCGCTTGCCCTCCTATTATGATCGAAACGAGACTATTGCTTCTAGAAGCCGCAGAGGAGTGTGGATGGCTAGTCTTATTGTCCTCCCATTCACGTGGGACCATTTCCGTCTCGCAGCATGTTCCACTTGACTGGTCGGGCGAGTAAGATCAGATCGGACCAGCTGCCGACATCAGGTCATTGGAACCGAAAGGGTTCACATGGGCCTTGGATATAATTTCCGACCTAGAACTTCCAATACGAATGAACAAAATCCAACGGTCATTAGTACGAAAGGGGATGGAGGTTCAGGACGTGAACAGGCCGCTTCCGAACCATTAAATAATTGGAGGGGTCAATGTCATCCCTGCATTAGTGCCAACTCTTGTTTGAATCATGTCCTCATGTCCCCCCTGTCCACTTGCGAATCGATGTGCTACCTTCAATCAAATCTGGTTAATCGGCACCCTCATCGAGCCACTTTGCAAATAAAGCTGTGGACTTGGGCTGGCGAGTGGCCCTCGTGGGTGGCTTGCGGGGAGCTGCATTGGCATCATCTGGCGAGGGCTGCTCCCCGGCGTCAGTTCCTTGAGAAGCCATGTGGCTTTGCATTAGCTCCAGTCGTTGCGCCATCCAAGCAGCGAGGCCGGCAAACATGCCAACCTTTGGCCATCTGCGGCAGAATCTGGCGAGAGCTTCATGCTGGCCCTGGATGAACTGCATCTGGATGTCCGGCGTGGTCGGTTTCCCTATCAACGGAGCAAGAAGGTTCGATAGCTTCTGGAGGCAGATGGGGCACAGATAGGGCGGTTGGCGGACATCCTCGGCGATATTGGCAGTCCCTTGCATGACACAGGCGAAGAACGAGCAGTGATCGAGGACCATGCAGTGGCCTATCTCGTGGGACATGGTCCTGGCCGTACGGGACATCCATAACTGGGAATAGTCCTCCGTTGTTCTGGGTACCAGATGTTGGCTGGCCCCCCTTACAGCCGAGGCAAGTGGTGAGGTTTCACCAACTGGGATGGTCGGCACGCTGGGCGGTTTGAGCTTCTTGGCTCGCTTCCTGGGAGGTTCCGTCGCCTGGCAAAGCCTGTCTACGTATGCTTTGCAATGTGACGCTGGCCACATGTGCTCTCGGTCAATACCCGAATAACGATCCAAGGACGGATGATACCGAAATGACGAGACGATGGCGACGCGACTAGACCCCCATGCTCTCCCGCAGCAGAAATCATCTTCATCGTCCTCGTAGAGATCATGGTGCGTTAGCATGACGATTGAATAAGCGTCCGGTGGGATATGGGCGAGCATAGCGTCTGTAATATCGCTTAGGTTCAATTGCTGCTTTGCAATGCCATCTAGTGACGGTCTATATCGGACACCGAATAGCTCGCCAGTCGGAGCGGCAGGCTCCAGACCGAGATAGGTGCCCTGCCCCTTTCTGGATTTCGAGCTCCGCGTTGTCGTCGAAGATCCGGGTGAGATCCCGTTCCCGGTCCACGATCGCCACAGATATTGTGGCCTAAAGACCTTGATCTCCATAGGATGATAGAAGGCGCGCAGATAGTCGCACAGATCCTCCACCGTTGGGGCTGCTAGCTGGCCAGACGGGAGGCTTGGCACCTTCTGGCCCCTCGGCACCTGGGGCTCCGCCCAGCCCTTCATGAGGGATTGGACCTCTTCCGTTTCATCGGGGGGTGGGATGACGTAGAGAGTCTTCCTGCGGTTGGTGATCTGTCTCCCAGGACCGCGCGAGTAGGTGAACCACTCTTTGAAAGTCTGCGGATCGTCGTCCTCGGGGTCCTGGGCAATCTCATCGTCTGGGAGAACCAACGGACCAGGAAAGACTGACGGGTCATTGAAGACCTGTGCCGGTGTAGCCAGCTCGTCAGAGTTTGTGGAGGTTAATCTCCCGGTGAGGGTGGCCGCCTCGAGGCGACTTTGCCCCACTGGGCGCGAGAAGCCAACAATAGCGGCTTCTGGCGACGAGTCCACGTAGAGGGTGTCGTGGGCACAGCAGCCACTGGCGTTTCTACGGGGCGGGGGCATTTCGGCCTCGTCGGCAATGGCTGTGGCTATTGGCGGCTTTGGCTGACTCCGAGTCTATTCAGGCAAGGTCCAGAGGCTGCGGGTGACTGAGTCGTCGACCAACAAAGATGTGGTGGAAAGATGAAAGTGGAAGCACTTTGCCTCTGGTGAAATCACGCCGCATCGTGAAGGATTAAATGAAAAATAATTAGCTTCCAACCCGCAGGCGCAGCTAGGCAGCAGCGCCTCCTAGCTCTTCGAAGCCATACAGTTCGGTTGGGTACCGAGTTTGGTGAACTCTGGTGATGTTTTCAAAGTGCTGATGGCACCTGCCGTTGATCAGGCACAGGCACAGCCCATGGCCATGAGTCTGTCGGACTTCGGCTTTGAGAGCTGCACAGCGCCGTGCACGACTCATGTACCTGCTGTAGGTGGAGCTGGTAGCCATTGGCTTAGCAGGAGGTACCGCCTAAGCTGGGCGTCTCCCACCTTCCCGGTCACGTTACGGCTCCGACAGGGATTAGACGACGATTAACCGAGCTGCACTCCAGTACCTGGGCACTGCCATCGGCCTAAGGGTTTAGCTCATAGCAGCGACCAACTGCTCGGCCGCGATTGGACTCGCCAGACCCCCTAAAGCTGGACACCCGATGGCGCTAATTTCATTTATTGATCGAGGCTGGCCGGCCTGGACTTGGCAGATTCTTCGCGACTGAAGAAACTTGTGACACATACCCGTGGCCGGATTCAGGGGAAGAGGGCCCGCGGTTTGATAAACATCAAGCGGTGGGCCGTGACTTGCACTCGCCCGTGGGGAGATCAGGCGAGAAATGGGGAGGTCTGCTCTGCCCGCTCATCGATCACTCATCGGTATGCATGTCTTGGATGGAATGCAGGTCAGGCCTAGTCTGATCGGATCGACTTGCGGATGTGGCATCTCGGGAGCCGCACTCGATATAAATTAATCAATCTCGACTTCTTCTAGAAGCCGCCGACGCTCCCGCCACGTGAAAACCTGGCTCTTTCAGCTAGGTAGAGGGTAAGACTGCAGACCGGGGGCATAGCGGGCAGTCCTTTCATGTGTGGCGAGGCAGTATATGCCGCAATGGCTGGTATCAGCCAGTCGTTTGGCCTCGCCCGGCTCTCTAGTGGCCCGGCATCCCACTAGAGGTCACCCCATCCCCTTGCCTGTGTGGATGAATCCACTTGGTAGACCCGTTCTTCGTCATGGAGGGGAGGGTCGGAGATGTGCCCTTCGTTGGTTGACTGGCTGTGTGTTGGTCTGGATCAGACCTGTGTGGCCGCCAATTTCATCAACGTGAAAACCATGCGGCTGACGCAACCATCTTTTCTGTTGGTTAGTCTGTCCAGGGGACGTCTCGACTGATGGATAAAAGTGATCGCCTTCCCAGCCGGCGCGCCCCAGGTGACATGTCCCAGTCTCTCGTTTCCATGCATGCATGCCTGTGCATCATGCTTCCTAGTGGGTTGAACGAACCGAGTCGATCCCCGTAAATCTCTTCTGCTTTCTTTTTCCTCTCCTCCCCCCTGCTCCTTCATCTTCGTCATTGAAGGTCTGTGAAGAACCACTGAAGCAGTTTATGGGAAGCGCTTTGATCAGATCGACCGCCCACCATGCTCGCCCTCGAGCCTGAGTCTTGGGTATGGTACGCCCTATCATGGGTGATTGTGCTGATCCGGATGTAAGGCAAATTCCTCGCAAACTTTTTGAAGCTCATCTGATATCCTCTCTCTTCTTTTAGGGCCTCGCGAAAGCTTGTGCTTGGGTCATGGAGGAAGCTACAAATTGATGACTATCTGATGCTCGTCGCCATGGTAGGCTGAAGTCTCTTCTGTGCTGTGATGCAGTCTTCGTAGCTTCGCTGTGTGTTGACCAACTTGATGCCAGGCCACCGATACCGTGCTCATTGTGTCTATGAACATCGTTGCTAAAACGTCGAGTAACCTGATTGACCCCAATTCGCATGAAGAACTCACGCCCGAGAATATCGCCGAACGAGTCTATGGCTCCAAGATGGTTTTGGTTGTGGAGCAGATGCAATGTCTGACTATTTGGATGGTCAAGGCGTGCATCTTGCTCATGTACAACCGATTGACGTATGTTTCTTTGCCCGGATGTGCCATGTCCAACATTTGACTGAACCCTCTGACCGTCACACACAGGATGAGTTTGAAGCAGAATCTGGCAGTCAAGATCGTGGCCGGATACACTCTTGGATCATTTATCCTGATGGAGATTCTCTACCTGGGAGTCTGGTGCAGACCATTCACAGAGTACTGGGCTGTTCCCCCTGCAAGCAGTGAGTCCCGAGTCTGTATGACCCTGTCGAAGCCCAATCATTTGCTGATGTGTGTATCAACCAGCCCAATGTTCGGCTGCGACAAACCATTTGATTACCAATGCCGTTTTTAACCTTTCGTCCGATATCATGATCATCTTGATCCCTATGCCCGTGTTCCTGAAGTCGACTCTTGGTGTCAAAAAGAAGGCTGTTCTATGCGGTATCTTCGCCGTTGGACTCTTCACGGTACGTCAAAGAATACCCAGGCTCATCAATAAACAGGCTTCCCTAATACTCACAATCCTCAGATCTTGTCCGCCATCCTCAGCAAATACTACAGTTTTAACCAGCCCTTCGGCGTCGACTGGACCTACTGGTACATCCGCGAATCCTCCACCGCCATCATCACGGCCAACCTGCCCCTCACCTGGTCGCTCCTCCAGAAGGTCTTCGGCCTCAAGTCCTTCAAGGACTACTCGAACCCCTACTCGAACCAGAACACCAACTCCCGGTTCCGCTCGACCACGTACGGCCGGCAGAGCAACAAGCGCGGCGGCACGCGCTCCGCCAGCCAGGAGCGCATCACCAACGTGCCCCTCAAGATCTACCAGAAGCGCGAGGTGCAGGTTACGAACGCGCCCGTGAGCCCGACGCGCATAGAGTCCTCGGAGGAGTCCCTGCCCCTCCCCGACCAGCTGCGGACGACGGTGCACGTGAGGGGCGGCAACGCGAGCTCGCATAATGAAGAGACGGCCTCGGAGAGGTCGGTGGCCGGCGCCGTGGACGTGCATGTTGCGAATGGCGTGTGAGGCCCCGGCACTGTATTAATTCTTGAACCTATTCTTTGTTTCCACATATCTGGACATAATATTTTGTATTTGAAGGCATATAGAGATGACACATTACGAATAGAAAGTCTCATAGAAGAGACATGGTACCCTTGTTTCGATCGACCCAGGTCGCTGGATTTGACATGTGGACGATGCGGAGGTATTGTAAGGCGTTGCTTGGGAGGACGTTGAAGTTACCAATATTCTTAGTAAGTATCTGGATTCCTTCCACAACCCAATGTAACCACACTCTGGAAGTAATCAGGCGGGACTAGTCAATCAGGGAGGTGCGATTACAGATCTGGTGCCCATCATCACCCGCGGCTCTCATTATCCGGATCGAGGCCATCTCGACTGCCCCACGGGGAAATCCTTCAGGCGGGGGAGGGGCATCGGTGTATGGGATCGGTGCAGTGATAATCCACCTTGAGTTACCTGTTAAGGAAGATGGTTTTCCGGAGCGTGGAGGGAATGGACGGGTGCTTGCCCTCCTTTGGCGTAGTTAATACCAGGCCAGAGCGCCTTTACCTGGACTTGGATCTGATTGTCAGAGACAAGTAACTGTCTTCTTTCCAGATATACGCCTATAGGTTGTCGGACTGAATTTTGGAACATGGCAGCCTTGGACCTGACATCAAGCGGCTTTGTGAGCCTGCCGTTGCTAGCATCGAGCCTTGCGCTGGTGGTAAGTATCGAAGAATTATACATATTCTTCTCTGTCAAGCCATCACCTTCTGATTCTTGACACAGGGAATCGCATACTTACTCTTCATCGCCATCTACCGTCTCTACTTCCACCCTCTATCCAAATACCCAGGCCCCTTCCTCAACAGAATCTCCCCCCTGCCACTCTCCATCGCCCTGCTCCGAGGCCGCCTCCCCTTCTACGTCAAGCACATCCACGACAGATATGGCCCGGTCGTCCGCCTCACGCCCACCGAGCTCTCCTTCAACTCGGAGAGGTCCTGGAAGGACATCTACGGCTCCCGCCCCGGCCACGCCAACTTCCACAAGGACCCCATCCACGTCGGCTCCGTCCAGGCCGTCCCCGGCGCCGTCACAATCACCATGGCCAACGACGCCGACCACGCCCGCCAGCGCCGCGCCCTCTCCCACGCCTTCAGCACCAGGGCCCTCCTCGAGCAGGAGGCCCTCATCACGTCCTACGTCGACGCCCTCCGCGACGTCGTGAACCGCCACGCCCGCGAAGGCCGCGTCTGCAACCTCGCCGACTGGCTCTCCTACACCACCTTCGACATCATCGGCCACCTCTCCCTCGGCGAGCCGTTCGGCTGCCTCGCCTCCTCCGACCTCCGCTTCTGGGTGCCCCTCATCTCCGAGTCCATCAAGGCCGGCGCCGTCGAGCAGGCCGCCCGCCGCCTCGCCACCACGGGCTCCTGGCTCCAGCGCCTCCTCCTCAGGCTCCTCGCGCCCGCGGGGCTGCGCCAGCAGCGCGTGCGGCACCTCGAGTACTCGCGCGAGAAGATCCTCAAGCGCATCGCCGCCCCCGGAGGCGGGGGCGCGCACAGGGACTTCCTCCACTACCTCCTGAGGCAGGGCGACAAGGAGAACCTGAACCAGGACGAGATCATCGTGAATGGCGCGCTCTTCATCATCGCCGGCTCCGAGACGACGGGGACCTTCATGACGGGGCTGTTCAGCCACCTCCTCCGCCCGGAGAACCGGCGCGCGTACGAGCGGCTGCGGGACGAGATCCGAACCGAGTTCGCCGCGGACGGGGACATCACCTACGAGCGGCTCTCCCGCCTGCCCTGGCTCGGCGCCGTGCTGGAGGAGGGCCTGCGCATCTTCCCCTCGGCGCCCATCGGCTTCACGCGCCAGGTCCCCGCGGGGGGCGGCTCGGTGGCGGGGGAGGTCCTCCCCGGCGGCACGACGGTGTCGACGTGCATGTGGGCGGCGACGCACGCGCCCGAGAACTTTGCCGACCCGTACGAGTTCCGGCCGGAGAGGTGGCTCGACCGGGAGAAGGCGACGGATAGGCTGGGTGCCAGTAATCCGTTCTCGCTCGGTCCGAGGGGTTGTATTGGTCGCAAGTGAGTTATTGGGCACACCCGAAATGTCTTTGATGTGAGGTTGTTGCTGACTTGGGATTTAGCTTGTCTTATATGGAGCAGAGGCTGATTGTGGCCAAGCTGCTCTGGCATAATGATATTGAGATGACTGGGGATGAGTCGTGGAGGGTGTGGGATCCTGCGAATGACCATGAGAATATGCAGGTGTTTACGAATTGGATCAAGATGCCTTTGAACGTGAGGTTGATCCCGCGGAAAAGCGAGTGATGGAAATCAAATATTCCAGCTTGTTCGGCGAGTTAAATCATACTTGGAACATCATGATTGTCCTGCGAGGCATGAAGAAATGCATCTATTCATTCATCATATAAGAATATCGATAAAAAAGGAATCTATTAAAATACAAGACTGGCAACTTTGTGATGCCTAGACATGCTCCTCGCGCGAGACATGTGTGTCAAGAACCCCATTCGCTCCATCAGCGTCCTTCTTCTTCTCCGTACCGGCAGAACCAGAGACGCTGAGCTTCCTGAAGTGCGCCTCGTCTCTCTGCTTGCGGGTGATGTAACCAGGCGGCACCCACTTGTGGCTCGTCCAGGGCTTGAGGCCAGGCTGGCTGTACATGAGGTCGACGTTCTCCAGGCTGAGAGTGCGGGATTCATAAAGGAAGAACCAGGTGACGACGGCAGCGCACAAGTTGGTCCCGGCGAACACGAAGCCGTAGTAGTAGCTGATTCCCTCTGTCGCGAGTGGAGTGAGGAAGCCAACCATGACTGTGATTGTTTTGTTAGCTTATACATCAAGGGGCACATAGGGAAAGAGAGATAACCGTACAGTTTCCAAGCCAGTTTGCGGCGGTGGCAAGAGACGCCTGTTTGGCGCGGGTTCTGAGGGGGAATGTCTCGCCGATGACGACCCAGGCCATCGGACCCCAGGTCCCGGCGAAGGAGGCGATGAACATGCACGCGGACACAATCATCACGATACCCGAGGTGCTGTTGTCCTCGGGAGGCAGCGAAGTGCCAACGGCGGCGAACACGACGAGCCAGACAGACTGCCAGATGGCACCGAGGAAGAGCGGCCACCGGCGGCCGTATCTCTCAACCACATAGAGACCATAGAATGTCATGGCGACGTTGACGGCTCCGAGGATGAGCTGCGTCTTGATGGGGTCCTCGATGCCGGCCGATTTGAAGATGGTGCTCCCGTAGTACATGAAGAAGTTGATACCGGTCCACTGCTGCAGGAAGTGAATCCCCATACCCAGGAACGTACGGTAGACAAGCTTGGGGATGCTCGTGTTTGGGTTGAAGCACTCGAGCCACCCCGAAGTGCCAACCTGCTGCTCCTTGTCGAGGACCTCACGCATCTCGGTGAGGTCGTCCACCACGAGAGAGTTGCCCGCATCATCCTTCATCCCCCTCAGGCGCGCCAGCGACCGCTGCGCACCCTCCCAGTCCCCCTTGGAGGCGAGCCACCGGGGCGACTCGGGGACGGAGAGGACGCCCACGCCGAGGGGCAGGGAGAAGAAGATGCCGAGGCCGATGACGATGCGCCACGAGGCGCTCTGGTCCTGGATGGCGCGGACGCCAAAGTTGATGAGGTTGGCGACGAGGATGCCGATGGTGATCATGAGCTGGTACGAGGCCACGACGGCGCCGCGGATCTCGCGCGGGGCGCACTCGGACTGGAACATGGGCACGCCGACGGAGAGGCTGCCGACGCCCAGGCCGGCGACGAAGCGGCCCATCATCATGTGGACCCAGCTCCGCATGGCGGTGATCTGGATGACGTTGCCCACGATGAAGACGCCGACGGCCATGGTCAGGCTCTTGCGGCGGCCGAACCAGTCTGCGGTGCTGTACAGTGTAAGTCTTAGGTGATCTTTGCCAGTGTAAATGTGGTGGTGTGACTTACTATGCTCCGGACAGAGCACCGATCAGGCACCCGATGCTCATGAGCGAGACGACAAGAGACTGGATGATGGGCTGCCAGTCCTTTGTCCCGTCGGGCTGCTCCTGCGCAAAACGATCGATGAAGTCTTCGAAGATGAGCATCTGAGAGATCTGGCCGGTGTCATATCCGAAGAGGAAGCCGCCGATGGAGGTGACGACCCCGAGCAGAAGGGACTCGGCGCCCACTTCGGCGCCGTTCACCTTGACGGACCTGGAATCAGTGTTAGCGGTCGAGCTGGCGAGAGACGAGAAGATGGGGACGATACGTACACTTTCCCCAACATGGTGAAAGTAGCGTGGTATGGGATTGATGGGTGGGCGAATCAATGGCTCAACAAGGATTGGCTGTCTTGCATCTTCTTCGGTTGTCCCTCCCGAATGTCTTGGATGGAAGATATGGGGCGAGCAGTATGTCTGTAATGTGGAAGGGCAGATGGGGAAAACAAGAAAGGCGAGTGGATTATATAGATATCCATGGCGGTGTTTGTCCCCCAGGCTCACGATTCATTCAGCGGTGGAGTTGTTGAGGCAGACATTGTATCATACCTGCAGTCAGGCGATCAGCTGCCATACGCAGAGGCAAACAAGCAAACATGGCCAAGGCAATCGATTGACCTCATTATCGCCCGGGCACAAACGAGCAGGATGCATGGCTATTGGCCAATGCGGCAAGATCAGCAGCTTGGCTTTACCAACGTCATTCGATGTCCTTGAGCCCTGATCAAAGGCTGGCCGTGTCGACACTTGCCGCGATCCGGAATAGTGATGAGCTGCCACCTACCGGGACATGAAAAGATGGGTAGAGGCCGTTCTCTCACCGTCTTTAATGACTTCTGGGGGCGCCCCCTCAGAAGGGCCGAGAGCCAAGTCACAGTGTTTGTTTTGACCTCAATGGCCCGATTGGCATTGGAATCGGCTCTTTGTGAAATATCCAAAGAATTGCCCGACTTCCGCTCTCTGTAATTTACATTTGCAACTTGACTACTAAAGTAAATATGCTGGCGACAGCGTAGGCCAAGCGGATGGGATTGGTGATGACAATGGCAGTTCGACGGCGGTTTTGTCAGTGGCTTTCTCTGTTCTCCCAGTGCCGTCATCCATCGCGTCAGCCAAGAAACGGAATGATGGCACTGTCTCCCCCCCGCAGGTAAGCTTAAAAAGTCTGCAGATCAATCGGCGCCCAGAGATGAAAGGGGCTGCGGCCGCTTTTCATTTGGGTTTTTTCATTTGGGTCGCAACAGCCGAATAATTAGCGAGGAAATGTGCATTCCGGCTGTGCGCCACCAGGTCATTTTGCTTGGCCCAACTGTTATTCCCATCCTCATATTGAATTCTTAGCCCACTGAAGCATACTCAAGCCGAGGGATAAAGTGAGGCCGTCGCGCAACGTCATGAGATTGAGCGGCCGCCAGATCGTGATCTGTTTGACTCGGTGTTTTACTCGGCCTGTCCCACAAAACTCTCTGTCAATGTTCATCCGCAATGACACAACTACCCTGTACAGCACCCATTTTTCACTTGATCGTCTGTCCTTCAATAACCATCTACTCCTTGGCCGATCCCAGCTTGCTGATGGATATATTGAGCTGTAGAGCTCAACAATGCATTGGGCACAATGCGGCGTTTAGGGTCAGTGGACGGTGGTAACGCTTTCTCGAACACAAGGCTAGGTTTTGGTAGACTGATGCGTGCGTGGATTGCAGAAAGGTTCGACCGGGTACTTGTTTCCTTTGCCAACCTATTCACCGTCCAAAGAGAGGTACGATACTAGAGTGCCGTAAACATCACTGAGCTACCCATTCAGCTCTTGAACAGGCCGATGAGTACTCAGATCAAGACCCTCCTTCATCCTCCCCCGCCTCTCATCAACCCATCTCTTCCATCTCTTGAATCTTTCCCTGTGATCTAAATCGGGTTCACCATCCGGGCCCAGATAAACCTCCTCCAACCTCTGCAGGCACGCTTCTATCTCGACCCTCTTATACTCTTTCCCGCATATCATGAAAACGAACGAGCCGGACATCTGCTCATAAACAAGCATACTCCTATTCAGCAACTTTGGAGTAAACGACAAAAGCATGTCCAAATGACTGGTCATGTGCGCTGCCAGACGCTCTTCCGGCGCCACCGACACGTCGTCATGCCCCGCATACCGTGATGCGTAGCGGCCGTGTGTGTGGCGGTCGGGCGCGTAATGCAGATCGTCAATGATAATACTCCTATGCTTCGAGGCATCCAGAGGTGCCATGATATCGATAATGATATCCTTGACGACATATCTAGGGGTGACGCCCATATCGTTTTCAGGGAGGCTGCCGTCCATAAAACCAGGTCCACGATGGAAGAACGCTTCTAGCAGCCCGTAGAACCCATCAAGAACGGCATCTACTAACCCGAAGCTAAAGCTAAATGCCAATCTATTCCGAAAATAGCTCCTCACTGACTTGGGCGGGTTGAATATTCGGAATGTCGCGTACACGGAGTCAATGTACTGTGTGGGTGCGGAAAGGCTTCCCTTTCCAGGTAGAGGCGGTGGAAATGACCAAGTAGGCCAGAGACCAGACTCCTTAACGCACATGATGTCGACGTGGTAATTGGAGGGGATATACAAGAGAAAGTTCCTGACTTCCTCGTTGACCTGTTTATTTACCCGAAGAAGAGAGAGAGCAGGGTTATCGGGCGTGCGGTGAAAAATCCCCCGGGTCATTCTGTTGCCATCGGGTAGTGTCCGACGATTTCGATCCCAGGCAACAGAAGGAGCTGGTTTGGTAGCGGAGCAGATAACCCATCGGTAGATTCCGTGCCTGATCTCCAGCGGCAAATTGAGAAAAAGCATCGTGTGTTCATGCTAGCATCATCTATCACGACTGCTTGCAGTTTCGGCGGCTGAGGGCGTCAAACTAGACTGTTGCTTTGTCTTCACCTCTATTGGTCGAGTGTGGCGGAGGAGGGATTTCTCCTCGTAGTTCAATATTAAGTGGGCTAGGATGAGCTTCATTTCATGCACAGTAAAGACCCGACCTGCGCTTGCATGCTTTCCGCACCCGAAACCCAAGAAGCTATCGTCAAGATTTACTTCGTATTTCCAGTTGCTGGGCGCATTCTCGCTTTGTGGCTACTTTTCCTCTTTCTCAGGCACCACAAAACGGAAGGGCTTGTGCTCCCTTGGGTTTTCATAGAAGTCTGCATCATAGTGGACATCTGAGAGAAATAAAACTAGATATGTGCCTTTAGGGATGGCCTTTTTGGAATTACCATGAATGATTGATAGACCGCTGGGATCATATACCTGATTTGTGTTAGTAATACTGGACAAGGCTTGGCTGAGACGAAAATTAATCGCTCAGCTGCTTGAGTAGCTGGAGACAATGCTGCCGTTTACATCCCCGCCCCTCTTATACTGGTTGGTCCTGCCTTAGTGCTACCTGGGGGCGGGAATGAGGGGGGAGTGGGCGTGCAGGAGTAGATGCCTGGATACGCAGCCAACAGATGGAACGAGACGGTCTCGACAGGTCGATCAATTTTACTCTTTCCCTTTAGAAGCGCTCTTGTCATCCGACTTGTTACATATTTTCAGCCGCCTCGCCTGGCCACAACGCCCTGCATAATGGGTACATTAGGTTGGGCGACTTGAAGACCCGCCTAGTACAAGTCTGATCTGGGGGATGTCATCATGCCACCAACCGCGACGCTCTTGTCTGCGGCAATGAGGTGATGTTGTTGGTCAGCCTTGTTGGTCAGCATGCATCGAGCCACGTAAAACTAGGTAGTCAATCATTAAACTGTAGGTCACCAAGGATTCCGATCCTAGATACTCATTGCATTAGTGTTTTGAAAGGATGGGTTTGGGCTTACCAACAAACAAACGGCGTGTTGGTGCTGCAGCTATCATAACAATCATTAAATGCATACGTAAGTGGGAATTCTGCTTCCAGTTTATTTTTAGGCAGCATACGGTCGATATTGCCTTTGAGTATCCGCTGACAGATCATGATAACTTCCATTATAAAGGGAGAGCGTGTTGGCGTCTAATTATCTCACTCTCAGCTACAGCATCTCGTTCATTTTACTACAATCTCCACACCTTGCTAAGAGCACTCAACAAACCGTCTTCTTCTTCACTTTTTTTTTTTTTTTTTTTTTTTTTTTCAAAATGAAGCTCTCTTGTTCTTGTTCTTGGATTGTTTGCCGTTGCTCAGGCGGAGCAGAAGTTTATCACTTTACCATTGGGCCAGGATGCCAATGTGGTCCGACCACGCATGGACAAATATGGCGTAAGTCAGATTCATTACCATCTGCAAGATCTCTAATTTTATGATTTTGCCAGTGTCAAGCGTCTCAATGTGCACATTACTGATGTTTTTCTTTGATAGCTATGTTCCCCAAAAACGGATAAATGCACAGGTGGGGAGCATTGGGTGAAAAAAAGACATATTAGGGGTCAATAAGGACAGACAAAAATGGCAGGCGGTGCCGCACCCTCCTCAATACTGCGGTAAAACAGTGAGAAACGATTGCCTACACCTCCATGACCCATCAAACTCTAAAACTAACCCTATCACAATATAGTGTGGCGCGGAAAATAACTTGTGCGAATATATTAAGGGCAGTCCTCACGCTGCTTGTGCCAGCACTGGTCCTAACGGTACTCCTCCCAATTCCCCTCGCAATCGCCCTCGCTCTCCCCGATCCCGTCGTTTTGCTCGATCTTCTCGATCTTCTCGATCTCTTCGTTCTCCTCGCATGTTTCATTAAGAAAGGGGGTTTTCATAGTGTGACTGCGTCAAGTTTGCGGTATCTCTATTGTCATTGTTGCCGTTGTTAGGCTTTCTCAAGCAGCAAGATCAATGAATATTCTGCTATATCTCACTTAGACTAGACGCCAATCACCCTCTAGCTCTAATTGGCGGGGTGTAATTAATCCAGCAAGCAAGTATTAACCATCTACATGCAAGCTCCAAACCTAAGTCTACACAGAGTAGGTTGTGGGTACCATTTTCTTCAGTCAAGGCCCTCGGGTTAAACCTCAACCCATTCGCCACATCACTTGCGTAAACTGGAATGATCCAGGCTGAATTCTTAATATTTCGCTTGTTGTTCCACCTAGCCTATGTTAAATGTTGTGTTAATGGGCGGAAAAGAAGGAACAAGGGCGGGTGTGTGTGAGTGTGTGGGTGTGTTGGTAGGTGGGATGAACTCGGGAGGCGGTGCATGGAAGGGTGGCTCGTTGGTTATGTTGTTTATTGGTTGGCTGACATGGGCTACTTGGGGGGCCGGCTAATTTAGGCCCCCCAAGTAGTGATGTAACCTCGACAGGACAACGGCAGTCTGGTGCCTAACCCACAAACGCAAGACAGCGGCAAAGCGGCTTGAGCGGGTATGCAAAGATGGCTGTGCTACACAATGGTGGTGTCCTTGATGGATACAATGGGGCCAATAAGAATTTACCATAATCAGACCAGAATTCCCCTTGAAATTAAAAGTCAGCCCTAGGGAAACCCAGAAGTGTAAAGAGACAGACAATCACGGCATTCTTTATCATTTGCCCAACAACTACCTACCCTTATATCTTCACCCTTACACTCTTCTTCTCCCTTGGTGGTATCAGGTTTATCTTTTACTGTATCTACCTATTTCGCCATGGCATCCTCGGCCCCAAAACTCGATCCATTCTCCAAGCAAGTGAGGGACACTACCGACAAAATGGTTGCCGAAGGCCACCCCGAACACATTGTTGGCGATGTTCATGGCTTGATCAAAGCTGTAACTAAACACTTCAATTTGGTCCCGGATTCGATTGTCAAAAGCCTCCCGTCATATCTGCATCATGTATGGTATAAATGCATCCAGGCAGGGAAGAACATCAAAGCCTGGTCTGAATCGCAGGATGTCCTTGTTTGTCACCTCGTTGCTGTGAGGAACTTGGGATCCCCCCCCCTCCAGCTGGCAGCACCAAGGGCAATGCATTATCTGATGGCCGTATATTCTGGTCTGATCTACCCCTATTTGCACAAGATCTAGTTGAGGAGTTTACTAGCCACTTTTATCAGAAGGGCTCGTATACTAGTGAGCAGTACCAGAATATGGGAGCGTTTCTTGGACGATTGGTTTCTGTTGGTATCTATGATGGCCCTGCTCTATGTACACTCTCACTATTCCGAGAGACACTAGAGGTGCCACGATCACTCAATATTGACCCAGGGAGTGGAGACATCCCCCTTGACCATCTATTGTTTGCGCTTTCTTCTTTGATTTCTCATTCGAGATGGAGCCTTCCGATCTTGGCCAGCAACCATCCATCAACTCCTGCCACTGATGACAACCACCCAGACCTATCAGGTCTTGGTGAACTGGCTATTAAGGCTGGGAACATTCCCTCATCTGGCTATAGCCCTCAGCGTTGGGCCTTTTGGATGGAAAGGCTTCAGGAGCTCTCTCAGTGCGGGGATAGGGAGGTTCAATCGAGGGCTGAAGATTGTGGAGATTCGATGGAGGAGGCTCAGACCATGAATCGACTACTGTAGGAGATAGATAGAGGAGTGGAGAAATTTTCTGAGCGATGGTCAGCACTGGAATAAGCTACATACACATAACCTAGTTAATTGGATCGGACTTACACGCCTTGAGCCCCATCGACGAGGGCGACTTCGATCTGATCATAGTGGCCATTCCACTTTCGGAACCTCTGGTGGGTACGGAGATGTTGACATATAAAGTTGCTGATATCCTCGTCAATCGATCCATTTCTCATCTTTATCATAGTTTCATCGGATGATGTATTGAGAATCGATGTACGGATATCAGAATAGTCTCTACTGGATACGATGAGATGCAATTGAGGCTCGTCCCAGTCTTTTATCTCGGCTAGAATATCCAGGACCTCATCTCGGTATTCGCCCGAAGGACTTTCATCCAAAGCATCGAGTAAAATGTAAACATCATCTTTGAAACAGAGCACAAGTTCATGCACGCATTCTAAGAGGGCCTGATCGGTGGGAAAGTGTGACTGAGAACACCTCCATAGCTTGGAAAGAGGATCATCCTTCTGATCGAGTTGGCTGGATAACTGCAGGATGATGGAGCGAAGCATAGCTGAGCAGCTTTGTTTGGCTTCATCGTTGAAAGTAAAGAAGAAGAAAGCAATACCGGTTCCTTGTTTAGACTGACGATGACGCTGCGTATGCTCGATGATAGTTGTCATCAAAACAGACTTGCCACAGCCAGCGAAGCCGACAACCCAGAGGAAAGAAGCCGGCTTCTCTAACCAGTCTTGGAATTGTGATCCATCAACAAACCAGCTGCCTGTGCCACGGTGCTTTTTCTTAGCAGCCTCATTGAAATTGATGCTGGCGTCTGGAGCATTAATCCAGGACCGAATGTCACTACTGACAGAAGTGGCCGCAACAAGGTTCAGCAATGCTGCTACATCATCCTGCATTCTGTTCAAATTTCCATTTTGAAGAAGCTGTAATGCAAGCGATATAACATGCATTGAGTCATCAATGTCACTCTCAAGCTTTTGCAGTGTGCTTTTTCTCAACGGATAAACAAGTCGGCGGCCTAAACCACGCAAGCTCGCAATCACATCGCAATCAGACGTTTTCCTGACCTTGACCAACTGCTCTTCCAGTTCCTGAATGGACTCGTAGGAATCTTCCACATATGAATTCACTTTATCCAGAAGATCACCGTCTTTGGTGTGGGATTTTCCATTGCTGAGCGAGATTTGCAAGTTCTCTAGCAGATCCAAGAGGCGTTTAAGCTTCATGGTAGTGTGGGCGACATCCTCAGATTGACCACGATATGCTTGGTAATACTGTATGAGGCCTTGGGCGGTTGTGAGACCCAGTGACACGATTCCTACAGCGCTGCCAGCGACGGAAAACGGGTCTGCCATATTGGCATAGGAAAGCTATGTATGGTATTGCCGGTAGATGATCGATGATATCCCAGCTCCAGATATGCAAGGAGCCGAAAGGCGGGTGAATGAAAAGGAAGAATTTCGCAAGTGAAATCTGGCAAGTTTCATATTTCTACCACACTCTTTTCTACCATGTGACGAGATTGGGCCTTGCTGCCCAACTGAGGCTGTGTCCGCCAATAATGCATGGTAAGGTTGTATGCAGGATGCCTCGTCTGACAGAAAGTGCACTTTGCGTCATCCAAATGCGCAGCAGCAAAGCAACTAGGGGGGTTTTTCGTTTTAAGCTTTCTTCTTGCAGGTGCACTTTGTGAAGATGTGCATACATCGGCAACATACTGGATATTGAAAGTCAGTACCGTTGGCAGTCTTTCCTGCACTGCTCGGATAAAAAGAGTAACTGAACGGCTTCCTCTATCTTTCCAATTCTACCTGACCATCCTATTTTATTCAGGCATTACTGAGAAGAGAGCTTCCTCATTCTATGAAAAAAGATCCATGTTGTCCAGCACCGGCACCAGTATCAATTTCCAGCGACTCGCGCATATATTACCTTCCAGTTCAAATCCAATAGAACCAAGATGTGTTCCCTATACAATTGGTATCAATAACATGCAAACATTAATAACCCCATTTTATGCCCTTCTCACTCCCAACAAAAAATATTCTTCCTAGTTCTCGCACTCTCCAAGTATGTAGTCGGGATTGGGCTCGTACGTGATAAATATCTCCACCGTCACCTTGATCGATCTGTCCACATGGAGCATATCAAGCCACTTGGCGCCAACTCTGTCTCGCCATTCTTGTCCTAAACAGCCGCAACATACCACGAAGAGCGTGGGTTCCTGGTCCTGTTCAGCGTATACCAGTTCCATGCCTGTGGGGTCTGGTATCCGCTCTCGAAGGGTATGGACGACACCACTTCCTGTTTCAAAGTCTATTTCCACCTTCCAGAGTGTGCCACTGATATAACTATCGATGTAGGCAGCGGCACCGTCTCTAGTGATTACCATGCCGTCGGCATTTGCAAGACCACGTGCCACCGTCTCGCAGGCGCCAGCGGGCTCCAGATCTTGGCCGTCTTCAGTCCACCGGACAGGGAGGCGGCAAAACGTTCCTCTGCTTGTGTTTGTGTAGAATAAATAGTTCCCAAGGATCCTTATTCGGCTAATACCAAGGGCGTCTTTCTTAGTCGCGGGTCGCATTGACTCATCCCCGTGGAAGATGGACAGCGTCCCTGTTTCCACATCGACGCGGTAAATGCAGCCCGCACCAGAGTCGGCAACTAGAAGAATACGATCTGATGCGGAAGTCATCCCGATGCACAGCTGGGCCTCTGGTATGTCGGCGATCTTCGTGACCTCGGGCTTAATTTCCTCGGTGGCATCTCCAGTGGAAGGAACTACTCGCCAAACCGCAGTGTTGTAAACTTCCGGCGTCTCTAGATCGACAATCGCCGTAAGAACGGCATATTCCTCGCGACCGGTGTTTTTTAACCGGCAGATGTTGAAGACTGAGGTGGCGTCAGGGAACGAGTGGATGAGCTTGGGTTCTGAGCTGGGAGAGCGATTGCTGTGAGTCTTGGGATGCTGAGTGCTGAACAATTCTGGCCCATTGAGGCGGGGGAGAAGCATATCGCCATTCGGGCGGATTGCAGCCCCCATAGACCAGGTTTCTCGGGGTAACTCATCAATGAGAATTATGTCCTGAAGGCCACTCTTGACCGTGGAGTCGGAGCTGCCATTTGTCTCTGGGATTTGTCCATGGTTTTCTTCTGAGACACGGCCATCGGGCTGCACATTGTTAAAGTGGCCGTTTACGCCGGTAGTGGATATACCTGCGCCGTTGGCAGGTATCTTGTCGCTGCTTATCGCCATGGTATGTGATTAATGGGATTAATACCGCCAATGTTTCTGCCGATATGAGTTAATGCGGTGGCGTCTGGCGTTTTCAGGTCGGTGTATTGTATCTCGCCTCCGCCTCTGGAGTTGCAGCGGGGAAGATATCAGGCGGTCGAGGCTCTTAGAGTACAAGGATGGGGGAATGAACTGGGCGGATCAAATCTGAGAGAAAATGAAGATGGGGAGAGGCAGGAACGGCGGGATATAGTGCAGTTTTGGCGGCGTAACGAGGAAGGGAACGCAGGGATGATGCCGCATAGCGGGTGACCTATTTCATGATCCCGGGGAGGAGGGTAGGGGCTCGACGGGAGTGAGTATCCATCGCCTCTCCTAGCCTAGGGCAGGTGTCGAACCGGGATACGTGCCATGGACGGTGGCAAGGCTGGGATTACCCAGGCGGTCTGCTGACGGCAGTGATCCAGAGGCCCGGTCTTGGGACGTGGATGGGTTGAATTCTGCTCGCTCATGAGATTGTCCGCTTCCCAAGAAGGTAATTTCAAGCGATTTCCGGTTCTGACTGGGGTATGGCCAGGAATGTGGACAGGCAGTGTGACGAGGCAAGGTGAGTGGGTGGTCTCGGTCGGTCCCAATGCCACGGTAGCTAAGGCCATCCAATAATGCCGACAGAACAGACCCGAGCGGGAGCTAGCGTAAAGCCTGTGGCTGGCAATTAGGCGCCTACTTAGTGCTGCGGAAGACCGGGAAGGGTGCTAGGGCGGAGTTAGTGTCGCAGCCGCAGCGTATCCGCGATTCCGCCTCTGTGCCGACGAGTCTCGGCCTACGGGTGCTACGGGACTGAATCGACCGGCGGCAGCGTCAGCTTGTGGGCGGCTTTCGGACTTGAGGTCGTCGTCTGCGCAGTAATATACGTGCGATGAATTCTATTGCCTCTTTCTGTCCTCGATCCTTTCGCTCCAAGGTAAGTCATTAATATTAAACCTGCAGGCTGTCCTTGGTGCGGACGGCAGGTTGCCCCACCTCACAATCTCTCGGCCGCTCCTTCCTCAGGACAGATCGCTTAGGATGAGCCACCCACGGGGAGCAGGAGCACCTGTTCCCAATTGCCGTAAGCAGATTAATCGTCTCACAGCAGGTGCCTGAGGCGGCATTTTCCGTGTATCGTATCAGCTCTCGTCTCCAACATTTTTTAAGCATCCCTCTTTCGTATCTCTTGGCCCACGGGCGCGACCAGGCTCACGTCGATGGCATTGAGCACAGAGCCACAGGCGCTGACGTAGCCGAGACCCTGAAGATGCACAAGCCGGGCACCTATTTCTAGCACAGACGATAAATTGCGTTGATCCTCGCCCCTCACCTCATCCTTGACCATTTCGTCCCGTGCATAATCCGTCCGAGCTCCATGATGGCTCGAATCCAAATGCTTCCCAGTACTTGGGTAGCGAATGGCAGCATCTGGAGTGGATTTAGTGTCATCCCGACCGGTTATTTCCCGCGGATGTGGTGGCTATTGGTCCCATCTCGAGAGCGATCGACGACAGCCACCAATTGTGCATGTGTACGTATTTATACATGCACCTCCCCGTTGCTCCCCATCCCCCCACGCATACCAATTGACAATAATTTACCGACCGCCAGGATAGATCAAGGTAACCCAGCCTGTCATTTACCAGCCTGAGCCTTAAATCTTCGGATGTAGCTGATCCAAGTGGGCTACGTATTGGCGACCATCAATCTGCTCCGCGCTGCTCAAGAACCAATCTCCCATGATCTCTTGGTGCCCCCAGCCAATTTTTTTTTTAAATCATGATTGCGATTTTGGCTGTTGCTTTGGAGAGCAGTGGGGAAAATTTCTTCATCGAAAGATTCAGAAAAACTTGGTTGATGCTGCGTAAGAGAGACAGACATTCTGCAATATCTAACTCTTACACTGAGCCGTTTTTACCAAGAGCAACTACATGTCTAGGCAAACTCTATCACTGGCGCAGGTGCCATATAGCAGACCGCTCATATTCCGTACGAAAGCTCAATCTACATTCTATTCATTGCAGGGGAGATGCCAAGGCCGTGGCGGACCTGAACGGCTGTGGATCGACAGAGTCACGAGGATCGCAAAAGCTTCCCTCCGTTCTCTCCCAAATTGTTTACGGTGCCAAGTCCCTGGCCGGTGTCTCTGAAAGCACAATAACCCCGGAGAAACAAGATTTTGAGCCATGATTTGACGGATAGGCTAACATGGGAGAGATACCGCGGTAGAGTCCCGTTGTCCCGCGGCCCTGGCTTGACAGCTGAACCCTTGCTGTTCATGGTCCCGAACTCCCGGCGGGCGTACTCCGACATTATGGTGCATATAGGAGCTCATTTTGAAAGAGAATCGTGGGAACGGGGACCCGCGGAAAGGGTCGGGATGCGAACTGACCAACGGCTCCCAGGCCCAAGAGGTATATGCCGATCAGGGGGTTCATAGTAATACGGAACCAGGGAACTCTCAGCCCTGGCTGGTACCCATCATCATCATATGCGCGCCTGCAGGTGGAAACATCTGGGATTAGTAATTACTTTCCGGTTGTCCTTCGGACACGGGGCCTTCTTCCTGAAGACTGGGGCTGTGAACAAGATGGGAAATGGCTTACATTTCCTGGATCCCGCTGGAGTTGACGTCCTCGTGATGATTCCACGCTGGATGAAAAACAAGACGCGCGGCTGAATCTTTTTTAGGGCGACAAGGCTTCTAATTCCTGTTCATGTGAAGGCTTTGTCATTCGTTACGATTGTGCTGGTTCCCCTTATTTGAGCAAGCACATGACATCGAGTTGAAGCATGGAGCTGAATTTTGATCTGCCCCAGCCACTGAACCGAACCAGCATGGCGGTGAATGACCTGTCAGTTCAATTCCCGTTTTGCCTTCAGGCAAGCCCCAGAATAATTTTGGAGCAGTGGAATCTCGCTCGGCAGGAATGAAATGAAGAGAGCCGGGACATCCTTGCCCTTGGGCTTGGTGGCACTTCTCCCATGGAGGGGCGGAGATGGACCCATCATTGACATCAGAATGATGATAGCATAGGGGTAGAATACCCAAGGCTGTGATTCACGACGGGGCTGATATGAGTTGGAGAGAGAAATATGTGGCTTCATGGCGAGACCTTCGTGGGGACGTTTGGAGATTCACCCCTTGCCCGTCCTTTGCCACCCTCCGAGCTACATGGAACCCATGTGCAGGTGTCCAGGAGAGTATTCAAGACTATTTCCACCCTACAGAGAAAATAAATCTGCCTGCAATTATCAGGAATCAAACACGCCACTATAACTTCACTCGCGGAAACGCAGAGCAATTGATTCAGCTCACAGTCCAACGCCGCTTATCAATGCTCACCAATCATCAGATCTAGTAAGATACCCCTTAAGGCCACTACTGCCAGGTAGGTTTCCGTGGACATGCTAATGCCATTCGTTGATTTGATGATCCCCAGCCTCTTGCCAAGATCCATTGTTCGCTGAGCAGCTCCCGTGGGCCGTCTGACACGTTACCCACCCGCGGAACCAGTCCCCTGCCTCCCAATCGTAAATCAACCTCCTTTCGGAGGCCCTTTCTCCCGACGGGTTGGATGGACCCGTTGGGATGGGGAGTCGTACGATTGCCGTAGGGCCAAGGGTGACATTGAAATTAGGACACTCGAACATTAAGCTGCTTATTCTCGAGTCTGCGACCGGTATTTGTCAGATTAGTAAGGGTCGATATTACATGCTTGAGAGACAATACAGAGTATACGTATACTGTCTGTTGTCACTTTATTTTGGTTTACATTGCTGATATTTCTATTAATCGTAGACACTAGCCTGCCTATTCACAACCACCCCTCTAGTAGACCTGCCCAACACCATCAAAGAACTCCTCGTCCAGGATGGGCAGCAGCTCCCGCTGCCCGGCCCACTGCTCCTTGGCCGTGGGGAGGATCAGCTCCGGCGGCAGGACGAACCCGTAGTCGCCCAGGTCCCGCAGCTCGACCGTGTAGGAGAAGTCGGCGCCGCCAATGCTGTACACGTGGTCGGGCGCGGCACCCGTCGTGGCGTAGAGGACGGCGCCGCTGGGGCCGAAGGTGTAGGTCGTGCGGTTGGGGGACGAGTCGCGGATGGCCTCGCTGACGACGGAGGCGGCCTTGGTCCACTTGCCGAGCTCCGGGGCGTAGAGGGTCTCTTTGTTGCCGAAGGGGGAGAGGATGTACTGGCCGTAGCTGTGCCAGTCGATGAAGAGCTTGATGCCCGAGGCGTCGCGGAGGCGGCGGACGAGCTTGTCGAGGCCCTTGTTCTCGGGGGTGTCGGAGGGGGCTTCCCCGCGGTAGGTCTGGGAGCACGGGTTGGTGGAGGCGCCGCGCGGGTTGGTGTCCCAGCCGAACTCCCAGTTGCGGTTGATGTCGCGGCCGTAGCAGGATGGGTTGGTGGCGTTGGGAGGGGCGGGCTGTCTGTTCTTCCGCCAGAGGCGGTCGGATGTCTGGGAGTAGACGAAGCCTGAGAGGATCGTCAGTGCCATTGATCTTGAAATTGAGAGGGGAAGGACTGGGTTTGCTTACCGTCGGGGTTCACGAATGGGAAGATCCAGAAGTCGTATTTGTCCAGGGCGGTTGTGACGATGGTGTCATTCTTGGAGTACCCGTTGATGAGCTGCAGCGTGATGTACTCGACGACCTGATGAAATTCAGTCAGCACAGTTGATCAATGGATAACAAAGATAGAGGTAGGATATTTACCGGGGCGGCAATCCATTCGCGAGCGTGGACAGTGCCGTGGTACAGAACAGCTGGCTTTCCCGGGCCGGCCTTGCCGTAGAGATGGATGCCGAAGATGTCGCGCCCCTCGTACGACTTGCCCGAGGAGACAATCTCCGAATTGTCGGGGAATCTCTTCTGCAGATCGTTGAAGTAGGCGACGTGGTCCGTGTAGTTGTGATAAGAAGCAAACCAATCCTCATCGTCCCGGACGTTGAGGCGCTTCGAGATACCCGCCGACTCGCCCTGGACGGAAGCGCCCAGGTCTTCATGGAGGATCTTGTGCTCGAGGTGGAGAGCCTCAAATGCCGAGACCTCGCTGGGAGAGACGAGGATGTCGATATGGTACAGCCCATCGTCGTTCCAGCGTTCATAGCTAGCCAGGCCGGAGTCGAGCTTGCTCCGAATATCGGCTGGGCGGCCGTGCGTCCAGATCCGGTAGACCTTGAAGCCGTCGTAGGAGACGCGCCCGACGTCTTCCTCCGTGGCGGGAGCAGCGAGGGCGCTCCTCGCGGCGAAGAGAGCCAGCAGAGTGGCTTTGAAGAACTTCATCTTCGAGTTTTGACTGAAGAATGGATGGGGGGCTAGAGCAGCAACTGACCGCTCAACGGGGACACGGAGCAGATACGAGGAGGGTTCGACATAGCGTTGAAGGTGTGTCCTTTATATTTTTTTGGTTGAATGCCAGCCAAGAGCTTGTTTGCTTACCCGCATCAATCATCCATGCCGAGACTGGCACTGCGTCGTGCGACCAGCATTTTCTGCATCACGACATCAGTGAAAACATCACGGCTTCGTTCAAACAAGGAAGGAGATCAACGGGAAATGAGAGCCCGGGCCCGGTAATTGAGGCAGCCATCTTCATTCGCTCGAATTGTCGTCATCGTCGCGCCCAAAAACCTGTCCCCTCCTGCAGGAACTTCTGCCGGGCACGTCGGTTGCACAGAATACGATGCACCGACTGCCGGCTGCTTATGGAGGAGCTTCATCGCCACTGGCCCGCCGGTGATGGACCTTCCTTGTCGGGATAGCTGGTGCCTCTTGTGCTCACCAGAGCCAAGCTTTTGGCGTCATTGTCGTGCTTTGGCCCTGGTGATGGCGCAAACTCTGCTGATGGACGGTAGTGGAGAGGGTTTTTGTTCATTGGGCATTCTAGCTAAATAAAAAGATCGAATTAACTCTAAATAATGCTGGTCGGTCTAATATGTGGCGCTAATGCAATGTAAGATATATCAAGGGTCAAAGGATGCTCGGAGGAAGTCAGATACAAAACATGTAGCAGCAAAAACGAGATCGTCATCATCATCATCATCGCCAAGCGTGATCATCCAAAAACTGCACTGCAAGGCCATCCCTCACTTGATCAGACTCTTCAACCTCTCCGACTCGACTGCGCGATAGTACGTGACGCTTTCTCTTGCGGCCGCCGTGATCCCAGCAATGTCCGTCTCTCCCGTCCTGACGGCCTGCTCCATTGCCGATGCCAGAGCCTCGCACTCCCAGCACCCGCAGATCCTGTACTCCTTGCCAAAATGCTTGTGATATAGATCCGCCGTCCTGTCAAACCTGTTCTCCAGCACCTGGCTCAGAATGGTATCGTCGTGGTTGATGAACCTGCCAACCCGCGACTCCATGTCCCTCCCGTACCGCGACGCCGCGCACTGGTGCGTGTGCCAGACCAGGTCGATGTCCAGCGTCGGCACCACCATCAGATGGGTCACCCGCCGCATCAGCTCGCAGAACCTGTCGTAGCGCGCGACCGCCCTCAGCAGCGTGCCCTCGAGCGCCGGGCTGCGCACCCACAGCAGGTCGTGCATCCTCTCCACGAACCTGAACTGGCGCAGCACCGCCTCGCGGAGCTGGTTGGCCAGCTGGGGGCGCACGTCGAGGAACTTTTGCGCGTAGGTCGGGATCGTCCTGTCGCCGCCGACCTTGTCCGAGTCGGCGTCGTGCTCCGTCTGCGGCGCGCGAGCCGTCGCCCGGCCGAACTCGAAGTCGCTCAGCCCGACGAGGATGTTCTTCCTCTTGGAGCCGGGCCTGAGCCGCACCGGCCACTCCTCGAACTGGGCCAGCAGGTGCGGCGCCATGCCCGTGCCCGCCTCGAAGCTGGCCCTGTCCGCCGGCGCCAGGGAGAGCTCCCAGGTGTGCGTGTCAACGGCGCCGTGGATCAGCTCCCACGGGAAATTGAGGTCGGCGATGGCTTCCTCCCGAAAATACCTGCTGAGCATGCCGGGGTTGAGCAGCAGTGCCTGCCACACCATCAGCACGTCCAGCGGCGGGCAGTGGACGAGCGCGCCGCCGCGGGGGATGGTCTCGCGCCAGCTGAGGAAGCGCACGATGGCGAACTCGACGTACTTCTTCCACTTGCCGTGGTGCCAGGCGGTCAAGGTCTCCCTGTCCGGCTTGGTGGTGCTCGAGTAGCCCATGGCGCAGCTGATGGGCGTCGAGGCCAGGACCTGCGCGCGCACGTTGTGCAGGGCCTCGAGGAAGACGAGGTGGGTTGCGCACTCTGCCAGGCTGGGCGGCGTCCATTGCTGGTTCGCCGCCGCCGTCCCGCGAGAGGCCTCGCCAAAGTCAAAGAGGGATGGCGACGGGATGCTGCGGTCCAGGGCCTTCTTCTTCAGCTCGGCCAAATTTTGAGAGTGCGGACGCTGGGCGGCCTTGCTGGCGGCGAGGTGCACGTCCGAGTAGGTGTCAAAGGGTAACTCGGGCGGCCGCTGATGGGCCTCTGAACGCGACCTCAGCCTGTTCATTGTGAATGGTGATGTGCTGCTTGTCTTCTGCTGAATTGTGGTGAGGAGGAATGGCGATAATTGAATGGGCTGATCTGCAGTTGCATTTGTTGTTGGAGTCAGCCTACAGGGAGGCTTAGCCGGTCACAACCGTAACAAGCAAAGCGCTGTGAGTGATCCATATATGTGATAATAATAATGAGGTGGGGATGGGTCTCATCAGGGATATTAAGAGAGGCTTAATAATTACTTCTGATATTATTCAAATGCATCATCAAGCATTCTGCTAGAGATGATCTACCGGAACGGAGGTCTGAGTGTTTGTCTACCAGTTTGGCCCCTTCTGAAACGCAATTGATCTTCAATATCTTCGCCCATCTTTATGTCATAACCTACATTTCATCGTAGTATCAGAAATACCCCTAAGTGAAGTTATCTAGCATAAGAGCCGATATCATGCTCGATTTTACCTAAATAGCAAGAGATCGCGTCAGTAAATTTCATCTCTTCAGAGCATATTTCTTAGAATACATACTAGTGTATCTGCCCCCTCTCTTGTAGTCTTTAACCTCTTTGATTTTCTCCGTTGGGGTAAAGATCTGTCAGCTCTTGGTGCACTTTGAACTGGGCAGTCGAAGGTTCAGGGAAGAGGATTGGAAAAGACAAAAGCGCCTTAGGTAGGCCCCTGTCTTGGACAGGGAGAAAACATATCGCCCACCCGGGCTTTGAGCGTGAATAAGTAGCAAAGGCTTATTGTTACGGTAGATAATCGAAGTTGAAAGAACAATGCGAAGGACAAGAAGTGTACAAGAACAGAGGATTATTAAGAAGTTTAGTCTTCAATCCACTGCAATTTCCGGAATATTAGCAACGTTATATTAAGTCTCGGATCCTCAATACTTTCGCTAATGGTGAAGGCTGAAATGGTTCGTGCTTTATTAAATCGCCACTTCTCGGTAGTTTGACTAATAACAGAGGCTTGATGAAACCAAGACTTGGTCCTTGGTCACGGAGGGAAAAGTTAGATCGTCTAGGGTGACCATCGTTGGCTCAAAACTCCAAAATCTTGTTACAATCAATAAGGTTGCACTCAAAATTTAATCACCCACCTACCTTTTACAAAACGACATTGTGTCCGCCATATATGAAGCACAGCCGCGACAAAGAAGGAAACAACCCCTCTTCGCCTTCATCTACCATTCCATCAGAGATACATGCACTGTCACGACGAAGAGAACATAAAAAAGCGCCAAGATGACAGGCGCCAACCTACCATCCTCCACGACCTCGGGCCCCGGATCCCCAGTCTTCTTCTTCAAGCCCGACGAGCCCCTCGGCGAGTTCTGCCAGTGGTACCCGGCCAAGTTCACCGTCAGCAAGGCCGAGATGTCCGCCCTCGTCGGCCACCCCGTCGACGAGGACGACCCCGAGGGCTGGCAGCCAATCTACTTCAGCTGCGCCGAGCAGTTCATGATGTACTGCAAGGCGGGGCGGTTCCACGACGCGGAGACGCAGAGGCTGGTCCTCGCGACCAGGGATCCGAAGGAGCAGAAGCGCCTGGCCCGTCTGACGCGAGGGTTCGAGGCTTCTAGTTGGGACGAGATCAAGAGCCGGGTCGTGGTCGCCGGGAACATGGCCAAGTTCGGCCAGAACCGACAGCTGAGGAGCCTGCTGCTGAGTACCGGGGATCGGGTCTTGGCGGAGGCGGCTTCGCAGGACCGTGTATGGGGTATTGGGTTCACCGCCAAAGAGGCTATGACGCTTCAGAAGCCGGAACTCTGGGGGGAGAATAGGCTGGGTAAGGCGTTGATGGAGGTGAGGCGGCGACTACGAGAGCAGGAGGAACAATAGGGATGGGGTCTGGCAACGCTGGGTGAAGAGAGTCAAGTGTCGCTCTTGACATGGGTACCTACACGGCGGGTTCTGTCTGCTGGAGATGGACTTGATATTTACAAGATAGCGGTGGGCAGCGAAAAGACTCGGCATACATACAAAAAGGGAAAGCACCGAACGCAAAACAGCTTCGACCCTTCCTCAGCCACAACCATCACCGCCGCCACCGCATCCTCCTCCACATCCACCACCACCACCATCGCCTCCCCCTGAATCACCACCACCCCCTCCAGAATCACAGCCTCCGCCTCCACCAGAATCCCCTCCTCCTCCTCCGCCGTCTCCTCCATCGTACGCACCAGATAGCCCAATGGCCACATACGCAGATAGATCATTCGAAGGTATGCTAGACCAGTAAGGGATACCCGGCGGATCCGTCGGCGGCTGCCTGAAGAACCACTTCGTCTCCGTCCTCGTCCTCATAGTCTTGGAATTCCACCCGTTCTGCCCCTTCTCGGCAAGCTTCATCCTCAGCTCCCGCTTCCTCTCGTAGTCCTCCAGCCTGCCGTTCGACGTCACCCAGTCGGGGACGAAGTAGGACACGCCCATGCCCCGCTCGTAGTGGTGGCTGTAAGGCTGAGCACGGTGGATGCCCCCCAGCTTGACGCGGTCCTTGCCGCTGACCTCGCCGGCGGCGCTGGAGAGCCACCTGGTCCCTACCTGCATCTCGGGGGACTTGGCCATGGCGGCGGCGACGGCCAGGAGGGCGCTCTGGGCGAGGAGCACGCGCATCCTGTTCTGGAACCAGCCCTTGCCGCCCTGGCTCTTTTCGCTGCTGCTGGGAGGGTAGAGGAAGCTTTCGCGGGCCATGTGCATGGAGATGATCGACCATGAGTCGTGAGGGAATGCCCAGATGTGCTTGGAGATGTTGCAGGAGCCGCATTTGGCGGGGTTTCTCCCGTAGGCTTCTGAGCAATCCCAGGGAAACAGGTCTTGGTACTTGTATGGGGCTTCTCCGAATGCACCAAAATCAGACCAGTACTCGGAGAGGCTGTCGATGAAGTCCGAGTCTTCGTGCCGGCCGTGCTGGATGCGCAGGAGATACTCCTCCACGAGGCCTTGCGGGACGTCATATTTGGACCACGGGAAGTCGGCAACCAGAGGGCCGGGACGGCAGACGAAACTCATCAGGTAAGACGGAGACTTGTTAAACTGGGAAACCTGAGGTGCGAAAAGAGATTGGTACATGCCAACGTTGAGGAGGTTGTCGCAGAAGTCCTTGCAGGTGTTGGATGAGAAGTTCCAAGCCAACTCGAATTTTCTATCAATGAGCTTGGACGCAATGGTGCTGAGGTGCAACTCGACGTGATCGATGAGGTAGTGCTTCAGCTCAAGCATGATTGTAGCTATAGCGTCGGGTGAGATCTTCCCTGATTGTGTTTTGCTCCCGTCAATGAGAATATCAATAATGTGTTCCTCTGCGTCTTCATCGAGGAAACCACAAAAGGCACCCCCGACAATCTGCTTTGCCATGAGCTTATGGCGTTTTGGTGTGCGGGGCCTGTTCTGGCGGTAGAGAGTCCTCTCGGAGCCAGAAATGAGGAGGCTTGACCCATCTCCATCAGAGGCTTCATCGGAATGAGCCAGGCGCAATCGGTCCCTTGTGGTAATTACCACTCCTCCTTCGGTACTATGAAACAAGAGGTTAGTTTCTCCGTCTTTGCCTTAGATGTCAAATGATTTTCCCACTTACTTTGCAACCCCATTCTCGATAAGTACGGTTCCGAATCGTAGAGCCATATGGACATGTCCAAATGGTTGCTGAGGCATCGCCGGACGCAAGTAGGGAGGTGTCCCCCAACCTTCTTTCTGGAACTTCTCAATGCCAAACTCGGGCATGTAGTACGTAAGGTCTGGGGTTTGTTTCTTTCCTAGTTTGTTATCCTTTTCCCGAGACTTGTCTGAGTCCTTCTTCATCAACCCCTTATAATCACTCAGGGAGAGAGACTTGTCTGTCTTCAGCCGCGTAGTGTCGAACTTGGCTTCAGCCAAGGTACTGTCCACAGCCATCAGCGCACATGGCCCATGTTTGTGTCTTGACGACTTGTCGGAAGAGATTGGAAACAGTGATTTTAGTTTCCCGTCGGAGGTTTTCGACAGAGTCTTGCAGTTGCAGAGCTTCTGGCCCACTTCGGTCGTGATGTCCCCGTCCAGGCAGCAAGACTTGTATCTCTTGTGCCAGTCTGGCCGGCCATAGCTATCGGAGCCAAAATAGCAGTTTTGGCAGATGACATCATTTGGACCCCCAGGACCGGCAAACATGGACCCGCGAATGGCAGAACTACACCTTTTGCAGAGAACATTCTCGGCTCTCAGTGCTGGTGGCGTCTTCTGGGGATCTAGGGCCAAATGGATCTGCGCAGGCGCAAGTCTGAGGCCATTGTGAAGAGGCTCGCGGTGCTCGACGACCTTGTCGAAATCGAGCCATTGAGCCGACTGGAGAAGCAGGCGAGCTCGCTGCCTCAGAGTATGGCCGCTGAGGTGCTTGCCGTCCTGATAGCCGACCAATTCCCTCACGGCGTCGCGCCGCCGCTCGCTCTCGGCATCTGCCAGCACCTCGTACGCACGGTTGGCGAAGGCGCCCGAGTAGTCGTCGCCGTACGAGCTCCTGTCCTTCCAGCCATCCTCACGCCTGCTCTGGCAGACCTGGTCGAGGAAGGTCTCGTAGCCGTAGATGAGCGGATCGTGCTCCTCGGGAAGGGCGTCCTCGTGCTGCCATTCGGTCAGAGTGCGCAGGATGAGGGCGACGTCTCCCTCGACGCCTTCCCAGTATAGGGCAAGAAGCTCGGCGAGTAAGTGTTCGGATGCTGGGCCAATCTTGGTCCGGGGGAGCTGGGCGGCGCTGGTGGCGTGCTGGGGTTTGCTGGGGCCGTGGGTGAGCGAGGCGGACCGCAGCCGCGACGTCACAGATTGGATCGTGGCCACGCGCTTGATGCTCGCCTGCATGCTGGCGATTGATGCGGTGCGAAGCGTCGTCGTCGTCGTCGTCAAGGAAGAAGAAGAAGACGCTACTTTGGTGAAGGGTTCAGATAGATGATGGGTGTGCTGAGGCCGCCCATTGTCGCTGTTCGCTGTCACGTCATGATCAGTGCTAACGTCGCTCCATGCGCTGGGCCGCAGCACGGTGGATGGGCTTGGCTTGGCTGGTAACGTGGCGATGAGCCAGTCGTGAGTGAGTCCGCCTTGTCAGGGGTCGGTCAGTAATGACAAGGGTTGAGTGATTGCTGCATTCTGATATTCAACGCCCGGTTTGTTTGTGCGCGTGAGCGGCCAGTGGAGAACAAAACAATGGCTTCGGGTCGGCTGCCAGGTGCTCGAATAGCGCAGCGAGATGCCTGATTCGCTGGTTCGCACAATCGTCAACCTGCTGGCTAATCAGGACGCCTTGGACGTTTCTTGGGGTACCTGAACCCCCTGAACCGCCTCAATTTATAGCGGAGCACCACTGGTCAGGCACAGTTGTAGCGCTGCAACGCTTGGCGTTCTGGTGCGCCACCCGCTGTCACTGCTACAGCCCAGCACCAATCCATGTCCACCGGATGCTCTGGAGTCTAGACCTCGTCTAGCCCAAACGAAAGTTCCAAGCTACATGACCAATGCAGATGGTGCTTAATCTTGGCATTAGGCATGGTGACAACTCATTATAGCCAGATCCAACATGAAAGGTTGGATGGGAAATCTAAATACTCAAATCGGTTGATGTGCTATCCCTTGCCTACCTAGGTAGGTTACACGAGAAGAGCTATCGTTGTCAAATAACACGTGCATACTTTGATAATTCACATGTCTCAAAATGCACCTGCATACCTTTGTATTTAGCTAAATGCAGAGAAGGAGAGAGGCGCAGAGGCTTAGCTGACTACATAAAGTAACCTGTTTGCTAATGACCAGGATTTTGATCGCGGGACCCGCTAACTCAATGAAGCTATCGCCGAGGTCTGTGTTTCCCTTTTGTCCCTTCAAGGTAAACAATATCTTTCTGGTTTCATATTCTCCTCGCATGGGGTTGGTTATCACAATTAAAAAGACCACCAAGTGGCTGCTTGGTCGGGCTCCAAGACGATTCCTGGGGCTATCAGAGGATTCTGTTTGGCTTCAGATGATCACTCGCTGCGTGGTATCCGAATCTATTGTGCCCTAGGTAGCTTTTCCGATTGAATTGGTGATCATGGGAATCTAACTAAACAGGCCTTAATACACAACATGGATCCCTCCGTGCAATGGAGGTCGGCTTGAACGTCAGTTGAGTTTCTTTCCGTCATCTATCACTTATCAGGAGACTCATTGTGCGTCAATTGAGACCTTAGGCCCTATATATCGTGGCTATGTCTGTCATGAACTAATAAGAGTAGAACATATCATATTCTCTATAAAATGATGATAACAGTATCATCGAAACGTGGCCACCAGGTATGTGGTTCTCACAGCTCTCTGACCCTCTCTTCATACTACTGGTCACTGGTCTTGAAGATTGAAGTTTGAGGAATTCAAAATGAGGACCATTTCAGACTTGCTTTTTGGTGCAACAGACGGCCATGAGTAATTTAGTATGTTGCAGGGATAGGGGGCGGGTTGGAGACTTGATATTTACTCTCGGCCTTTCTGGATCCCCTTCTGCGCTTGAGCGGGAGGAGGAGGCATAGGTTGGCTTCGTCTGATAGATGGCCCCTCAAAGGGATCTAAGCTTGTCCTTAGGTCTGAAAACTAGTGGGATTGACGCCATGAAGCTAGCGATTATATAAATCATAGGAGCCGAGGATTTCGTATCGACCAATGAATGGTGGCACATCCGAGTTCACATTTCTAACCCAAGAAAATATCAACCAATTGGTATAGTACAAGCTTAAGAGGGAGCTCGGGGAACAATTCTAGCAATTGCTAAGGGCTTGGGTTTGAGATATCAAACGATAGGCAGTCGTGGAAATGACTGCTGATCTACCTAAGCCACAGCATACATG